GCCTCCTCCCCACCTTCTGGAAACCCTCCAGCTGGCTGGACAGACACAAAGACACACACATGCAGGCAAAGCAGCGCTCACAAAATAACCCAGCAACAAAAGCATCATGAGAGGGAAAGAAAAGCATCTCTCCTCCCTACCGGGGCTGCGCTTACCGTGGCGTGGTGAGGTGCCCGGCTACCGTCCCGCTGAGCCGAGCGGCCGCTGTCTGAGCCGGTGTCCCCTCCGGTTGCTGTTTTTATGGCTGGTTTCATGCTGATGTCAGAGGCGAGCCCTGGTGAGGAATAGAGCTGGGGCATCTCCCCTCCCTACCGTCCCCTCTCATCAAATCAGCACAGGGATATTCATGACTCAGAAGGGACCAAGGTTTTATCTTCCGCTGGCTGAGGTAGATGGCTTGGAAACATGTTCATCCCTGTCCTCCACCTGGAATCATTTAGGACAAGGGGAAGTTTTCTGCTCCATCACCCTGCCCATGGGGAGCACTTTGCCCACCACAGTGGGGGATGTTGCCTCAAATGCTGATGTCCTGCTGCCACAAACCTGCTCCACCATGGGAGTTATGCTGTGTTCTCCTTCAAACCCCCCTCCAAAAAAACCCCCTGAAAATTAAATCTGGAGAAGAAAGGAAGCCAACTTGTTGGGACACACAAACTGGCAGGACTGGGCTCATCCCCATGGCATGGGGGCTTCAAACCTCTTGTTTTAAATGGGTTAAACTACCCCCAGTTAAAGATTTCTGATGATGCTTGTTCTGCTGGGTATGATGGTGGAGGAGCCAGCTCAGGTCCTCAGCACAGTGGGTGAGCTGGGCTCTGAACACACATCCACCCCCAGGCAAAACTGGAATTACTGGGACTTCAAGGGACATCACTGTGCTGGCAGGGTGGTGAAGACACCATCACTGGTGGGGTGTGGGCAGGGACAAGGGGTCTGTCTGCCACCCCCATGGGGGTTGGCATTGCCCTGGGACAGATCTCCATCTCCCACCATGGTCATATCCAGTGCCCAAGCACAGACAGTGTTGGGGGACAGTCAGGGGAGCAGCACAGGACAGAGGGTGACCAAAGGCAGGGAAAGGGATGAACAGAGGAGAAAAAAACCCATGGGCCAAGGAAACCCAGACCCTGGGCTCAGCAGGGCTTTCTCCACCCCAGGGTTCTTGCTATTATTTAATACAGATCTAAAGCAACTCTTCAATATTGTGGGCTTGTGTTTCATAGAATGTTCTTGCTTGGAAGGGACCTTAAAGCCCATCCAGTCCAAACCCCCCTGCCAGCAGCAGGGACACCTTCCACTAGACCAGGTTGCTCAAAGCCTCATCCAACCTGGCCTTCAACACTTCCAGGGAGGAGCAGCCACAGCTTCTCTGGGAAACCTGGGACACTGTCTCACCACCCTCACAACAAAGAATTTCTTTGGACTGCTTCAGCTGCCATATTTGCTCCTGGGTTTCCACACAAGTCAGAGTTGCCCTCCTGGCCTCACTGCTGGGTACCACTGACCCACACTCATCCCACCCATGACCTGCATCTCACAAGTCATATTTCCATCCCTTTTACCACCATCTCCCCCCCTTCTGCTTTCACCTGCCTGGTTTTAAAGCCAGGGGTGCACCAGGTGGTAAAAAGAGAAGATGAGGAGAGAAAGGAGCTGAAAGAACAGACACTGCAAAATGGGGCCTAGGTTCTGGACACAAAATTAGCTTTATTGCATGATTGAGTGTACATGAACATAATCTCTATACAGGCAGATGGGGCAGGGAACCAGCAAATGACAATGTGGGTGACTACAGCCTGAACGACGCCTTCGTTTGCACTGCTGGGGCTCATGGCGAGGACTTCTTCGTGGGGGTCAAGCATCTGAGCAGTTGCATGGAAGGACTTGAGATACAACTGAAACCAGGTACAGTGAGAAGTGAGGTTGGGGTGAAGGCTGAACCCTGACACCAGAAAGGCAGGTGCAAACCCAGAGCATTGCAAACCCAGATCGTGGTAGAGCTCCCTTCTGCCATCCTAGCACTGAGCAGCAAGAGATGCACCCAGCAATGCCATGCTGGCTGGGAGATTTTGTGCACCAACAGTGGTTTGCATTTACCCTTCTGAACTTCAGGCCAGAAGGATTTAAATTACTTTAAAATAAGAAACTGGTTTTGTTTCCAGCTGGAATGACCAGAGTATGGACTTACAAGACTCCTCTAGGACTGCAGGACCCATTTCTAGGCAGTTGGGAATCTCTACTGCTACCAAGCCAAACATACGTGTTACTTGCATGGGAATTCACACTACACCTCCTAATTAAAGCGGTTTTAGTTCAGATGTACAGGAATAGCCTAAAATAGTCCAGTCTAAGTGGCCATCATGGGAAAGTGCCAGCATCTAACTGACATCCCTGCTCTGGCTGCAGGTGGTCCTCCCTGCATCACCCACTGTGGAGGGAGGGAAGTGGGGGGCTATAAAGGACAGGAACCAGCAGATACTGAGTGAAAAAATTTAACATGAACCTCTTCCAAAGTGACCTGCAAGAGAAAGCAACCCTCTCCCCATCCTGATGTCCTCTGCACAGCTACAGGGCCAGACACTAATCCACCAGCATCAGTGGACATGGAGAATTAAATGTTGGAGGAAAACAAACAGTTTGGGGTGGGTGTTGCCAAGGGTGTTGTCACCTGGCAGGAGCCCACAGCCACTGCAGCCCCTCCAAAGGATCAGTTGGTCTTACCAGGTTCTGCAATCCTATTATCAGGGACAGGGGACAAAGCACCTCCTTGCATGGGCTGACCCCTCTGTACAGCAGGGATAGCCTCCAGAGAAGCACCTACACTCTGCTTGCTGGAGTCCTTCTAAACTTGCTGATATAGCCTCGCAGGGTGGGGAGATATCTTTGAGAGCTGGAAAAACAAACCAATTCCCAACAAGCTCTCCAGCCTTTCTTCCACCTTTCTTGCCACCGCTTCCCACAAGCCTCACCTCGCTCCCATCCCCAGATGGTCACAGCTGCTTCAGGCACAGTGGTGAGAAGCCTCAGCAGGGGTTTGCAAAGCTTTGTGCAAAGATCTGTTGGCCAAGTGCTCACTGGGAGGGAACAAGCTCTGCTCTCACCCTGCTTTGCTGCTCAGGGAAGGGAAGCGATGCTCCAAGGGACAATGCAGGGAGCGGAGACCACTGCTGGGATGTGATTCCCATCCTAGGATGTCTGGGTCCCTGCTCTACCTATGCTACCCTGAGGGAATCCCACCCTTGTCATCAGCTCCTGTCCCTGCTCGGCACCAGCCTAGGAGAGCGCAGTGACAGGTCCTGACAGCTTTTGCCAAGCGAGGTCCATGTCACTGCCCCCAGTCCCCAGGCTGGAAAGCCATGGTGACATCCAGCCCTCTCCGAGGAGGTCACTCCTGCTCTGCACTCCTCTGGTCCCCTTGGTTGACCCAGTACCAAAGAGCTGCCCAAAGCTGAGGTCTGACACCTACATCCTCCCATCAGAGCCCTTGGCCATGTGTCCACACCCCAGTATCTCACTCCTCTCCCTGGCAGCTCCCAGCAAGACCACCCACCCACAGCCCCCAGCTTCCCTCCTGTCCGAGGTTTCAGGGAGAGGTGGGAGCAGGAGAAGGAAGAGCAAGCATTGAAGGGAAGGCAGCAAGGCTTTGTGCTGAGGTCTTGTTTCATCACTGAAATGCCGTGGCAGGAAGGTCCTCCTCTCCTCAGGACAGGTGGGTCATCACAGGCTTCTGCAAGGTACCAAAGGGAGAAACCTCAGCTCACGGCCGTGCCTATGCCACCCCGAGCCACCCCAGGCAACGAGGACAGTGTGCTCCCTGTCCCCTACAGCTGCTACTGCGCAAGGTGAGAACCTTCCCCATCCCATGGATCACGCAAGCAGCAGGATTTTTTGGTCCCCCTGCCCTGAGGCTTAGAACATCCCAGACCTCAGGGGGCAATGCCCAGGTGTGCGTGCCCTCACCGGCCAGCATGGAGAGACCAACGCTGAGAGCCCGGGGCTCTGCTGGCTCAAGGAGAGAGTGGGGAGGGACAGGTCCCTCTGTGCAAGCCCAGAGAAGCAGGTCCCACGCAGAGCCCAGGCCAGCATCCCTCCTGAGCGGCTGGGTTCGTACCGCAAAGAGCCGCTCCACTCTCCTGTTCTTCCCGTTGGGGTTTCTCTGCGTCAGGGAGCCACGGTAGATGGAGTTACGGTTGAAGGAGTCATCAAGACCTGCAATGAAAGAAGAGATGGGCAGCAGGTCTTCATCCACCTTACTAGAGGTTTTGGTTACCCACCAAACCACTTAGGTTTTGCTATCCCCTGCTTGCTGTGGTTTTGATGTGCCACTGCTCTTCCCTCTCCAGGATGGTGGTGGGAAAACCTTCAGCAACAGAGAGGCAAAAGCTGCTGCTACTCATGTTTCTGGAGCACTGTGTGGGCTGGGTCAGCCTGCCAGTGGTCAAATGCCAAGACCTTTGCTCTGGAAACCTCCATGGTCCAGCAAGAGAGCAACCCATGAAGAGCTCTCACCCCCCCAAACCTATGACACTCTCTTGACCTACTAAGTCATCTCCCCTTCTCTGCCACCAACATCCACCATCTGCACCTTTGAAGGCCCAACTTTGTAAGTCATTGACCTGCAGGAAGGGCTGTCAGGAAACCGAGTCACCCCATCACCCAGCCCAGGCAGAGGGGATTAGGCTGGCCTGGTGACGTCCATCCCAATTGCACATCCCTCTATCTCCTTGTGGGGCTGACGTGTCTCCTGGTCTGCCTTTATCTGCTTGCCCTTTGCAGGAAGGGGAGCAGATGACTCCTCCTCAGCATGAGGAAAAGGGACCTTTCCACCTACCAGCTTGGGAAACGGGGCTGTTAATTGCATGCATGAGGGAAACATGGTTCCTTCTCTGCATTTAATGATCTTTCCCCCCTTCCCTCCCTTCATCTTCCATTATCTGGAGGAAGAACCACCATTCTTTCTGCCTTTAAGCTTATGAGGTGAGATAAGAGAGAAATAGAAATAGAAATAGAAAAGTCATTTCCTAATGGCTCTCACTGATATTGGTCAGGATGAAAAGTCTCCAGTGACTGGCCCCTGCCGCACAAGTTGCCAAGTTTCATGTCACTGTCTACTTCGAAGCACTCCCAAGCTGCCATTTGTCATAGCTGGGGTGTGGAGGGCATCCTTCCCCCCACCAGAGACCAGTGGTCAAAGCAGGTGGGCAACATGGTCAAGGATACCTTCTCCAAGGTGAGCAAGGGAGGAGGAAATTGCTATCAGCAGAGACGATGGGTTTAGGTGAGGCTTTGAGGTCTAAGACCCAACGGGATGCCACAAATGAAGTACCACAGGTGTCTCCCTGGACTCTGGGGTGGCAGGGGCCCAGGCTGCTGAGAAAGTCCTGGTTCTGTGAAGACAGAGCCAACTCAGCCTGACCTCCACTCTCCCATCACTGTCCCCAGTTCTGCCAGCTGCCTCCTCCTTTCTAAGTTATCCATCACAGAAGAGGTTTCCCCTGCAGCTGTCCTAACAGGAGACCATGAGCACAGGGAAGGGGACACCCAATGCAGACACACAACTGGATGCAGAGATAGAGAGAGGACCAAGTGTCCCCTCAAATCCCAGCCCATCCACCCACAGGTCCCCACCTCCCTGGTCCTTACCAGTGATTTCAAAGCGACTGTTGAACTTCCTCCTAAATCCCTGCAGTCTGGGCATCACCTGCAAGAGAAGGGGATGGGAGGACAGAGGTCCCTTCTGAGGCCACCACTTCACAAGCAGCTCCTTGGAGACCCTGCTTGTCCTCAGGCTTAATGCTGTGCCACATACACGCCAGGAAGCTGCACTAACCAGCAGAGATTAAACACATACTCACTTGCACGTCATCTGAAGACTCCCCTGGACTGCTGCTGGTGGGATCGGGAGCTTGGAGGCAGGCAGCCTGTGGGCAGAGGAAGGGCAGAGGTTTCTCTGGGGTTGCAGACAACTCAGTCTGCCTTTAATTGCATTTTCACCTCTGTTGTTTAGTCTGGACTGATTCTAAGGTGAGGAAAAGAGGCAGCAACTCTGCCTGATAAACTGCAATTATGAGCTGGGGAAGGGTCTGGAGCACAAGTGTGCTGAGTTCCCGGCTGAGGGAACTGGGGATGTCGAGCCTGGAGAAAAGGAGGCTGAGGGGAGATCTTCTGGCTCTGTGCAAGTCCCTTGGAGGAGGGTGGAGGGAGGTGGGGGTGGGTCTGTTCAACCAAGGAGCAAGGGACAGGACAAGAGGAAATGGGCTCCAGTTGTGCCCAGGGCAGTTGAGATTGGATGTGAGGAAGAGTTTCTTTGCTGAAAGGGTTCTGAGGCATTGGAAGGGGTTGTCCAGGGCAGTGGTGGAGTCCCCATCCCTGGAGGGATTGAAGAGTCGTGTAGACACAGTGCTGAGGGACATGGGTTAGTCGGGGACTTGTCAGTGTTGGGTTCATGGTTGGACTCCATGAGCTTAAAGGGCTTTTCAAATCCCAGCAATTCTGGGATTTTAAAAATCGGTATGGGAACACAGGATCTGAGTCCAGGCTGTGGTATGTGCAGCAGCCCAGCTGCCCTCCCTGCAGCCCTGGGAAGAGAACCCTAAATACCAAACCCTCCCTTGATGCATGTAAGGAATCAGGATTGTCCCCCATCCTCAGCGAGACCTCCACACTGGGAGCCTTGGGGCAGAGAATCAGGCAGCTGGGCACAGCCCAGCAAGGCAGACAGCCCTTCACAGACTCGGTGCTGCAAATGCATCTCAGGGTTGGGACCTCTGGTAGCCACCATCCTCCACACTCACCTGCCCACTTGACTTCTTCCTTGCCTTTTCCATCGACTTCACTGTCAGCCCCGCAGCGGACAGAGCCGCGATGCGAGATTCGATGTCCGATATCTTTAGAAAGAGGAAAAAAAACCCCATAGAGGTGTTGGCTGGAGGATCCATCACAGCTTCATTTACCATCCCTGGCTGGGGGTCTGGGCAAAGCAGCTCTCAGAGCCAAACCCTCACCTCACTCTCTGCCTGCTGCACCTGAGCAGCCGCTGAGGCCACTTTCTCCTCCAGCTCTGACAGCTCTGAGTCAGTAGCGCCGCTGTGCCGAGCCCCTTCCTCAAGCTCCTGCAGCTTCTTCTCAAGCCGGTAGGTCTTCCCACCAGTCAGGTACACCTGAAATACAAGAAAAAAATTAAAAAATTAAAAAAAGACATTGTAGAATTAACCTCCCTGGAGTGCTCCTCTCCTGGTGCGACCGCAGCCCCAGACGCAACAGCTCCTGTCACTATTTTACGACTGCCTCCTTGCCTTGCAGCACAGACAGTACCAGTCAGTACCAGTTCATCTCATTTCCTCCCTTCCCCAGGTTTTTCAAGAGCAATTATTGACGGGGTGAAGTGGTAAAAGGCTCAATGGGAACACAGGAAGGACCAAAACTCGGTGACCTACTCGAGGAGCATCAGCATCTTCATGCCGTGTGCTCAGAGAGGAGTCAGGTACCTGCAAAGCAGCACAGTCTGCCATGGCCTGTGGTGGCAGCAAGCTGGGGAGGAGACAGACTGACTCTCCAGATCCACTCAGGGATTTTTAAGGGTACCTGTGCTGCTGGGTTGTCTGGGAGCAGGGTCAGGATTTGGGAATTTGACCCTGGGCAGGCAGCTATGCACAGGGACTACTCTGGACAAGCAGGAGCAATCCCAGCTGAGAACCCCAGCAAATACACACACGAACAGAGCCCAGTACAGAGTTGGGGTGAACTGGGGAGCACTGACTAGTGATGCGCAGTGACTACAGGAAGCACTGTGTTACCTTTGCTGTCTAGAGAAGAAGGGTAAAGGGATCTGGCCCAATAAAACCACTGCTTTTGCTGTTACTTGCCTCCTCCTGGGCTACTACAAGGATACAAATCCAAGCAAGGCAATTTAGGAAGCATGAATATCTCAGTGTGCAATCACACAACACAGTCAGGTGGATTGTGGCCACTGTTTTGCTGTCTGATCCCAAAATCTTGACTAATCCTCCAGCCCCCTCTGTTTTTCCTGGGCTGGGTGTTGTACAAACTGCCTGGCATGAGCCCACCGCGTGCACAGAAGAACCAACCATCCACCTGGATCACAGCAACACACCCTACATCCCATAGATCCCACTGATCCCAGTGCAAACCCCCAAATAACTCCCAAACCCCTGAGACCAGAACCAATTGCAAACATTTACAGGTGCCATCCGTGAAGCTGCTCAACCTGTGACTCACAATTTGTTATTGGGTCATCAAAAATCTCCCAATGTCCTCTGAGGTGGGTGGCATCCTTTGGAGAGTGACAAGCCAGCTGTGACTCAGCCAGGGCTCCCGAGGGAATGGCAGGATGAGCATCCACCTCCTGGAACCATCATCTACCCACTGCCTGGGCCCTGACCCACCGCTGACGGCAGTAGCACCAAGCCCAAAAGTCACACCCTTCCCAGCCCCATCACCTCTCCAGGGAGAGGAGGAACCTCAAAACCTTCACACTGTTGCCCTTTTTGGGGTGCATGTGGCCAGAAAGCAGCCATGTGGTTTCAGAACACACTCTGCTTCCAGCTGCTCTTTGATTTATCTGTAAGCTTTCCCTGACAAAAGATGAGCCACAAATCATATCATAAAACCCTTCTCCCCATCACAAGAGATTTCTGACAGCAAAACCTGACCACCCAGGTGGAGGTGAAAGTCTCAGCTCCATCTTTGAGCTGTTTCTTTGCAGCTTGATAAATAACACTGTGGATGCAATCAATTTCCCACGGGGAATCAATTCATACGGGTTTACAGTAGCTAAAAAAAAATATAAAAATAAATTAAATATGTTGGTGCTTCACACAGTCACACAAACCTAGCAGAGAAACATGCTCTAGATATAAACTTGTCACCTGCATGAGCCCATCAGCCCCCAGGCACAAGTCAGCCTCAAACAGACAGGTCATGCTATCCTCGTTTCATAGAATCCCAGACTGGTTTGGGTGGGAAGGGACCTTAAAGATCATCCAGTCCCAACCCCCCTGCCATCAGCAGGGACACCTTCTGCTAGACCAGGTTGCTCAAAGCCTCATCCAACCTGGCCTTCAACACTTCCAGGGAAGAGCAGCCACAGCTTCTCTGGCCAACCTGGGACACTATCTTGCCACCCTCACGCCAAAGAATTTTTTCCTCACATCTCATCTCCATCTCCCTTCTGCCACTTTCAAACCATCACCCCTTGTTCTATCACTAACTGCCCTTATGAAAAGTCCCTCCCCATCCTTCCTGGAGCCCCTTCAGGTACTGGGAGGCCACTAGAAGGTCTCCCCAGAGCCTTCTCTTCTCCAGGCTGAACAGCCCCAACTCTCTCAGCCTGTCCTCACAGCAGAGGTGCATAGAGGGGATCCTCTATATTCCCAACCCCTATGCCCTCCCTGCTGGCAGAAAGCTCTTGTCAACCTTAGATTTTCTTCAAGCTCACAGTACACTTGGGCCACCTCTTTCCCATCTCCCAGGCTGGGAAGATGCCCCACAGGGAGGGCACAGCCACCGTGCCACTGGGTCTTTCCATGCAACGACTCACACACCACTTTCTCCATGGCATTTATCACCTTCAGTACTTTGGCCATGATTTTGCTCAAAGCCTGAGCTGACAACCTCTGCAAATGCCCAGCTCAGCCAAAGTAGAAGGTGGGACAGGGAAGGAAAAAAAACCCCAAAACATTATTTTAATGTGTTGTACAAAACAGCACAAGTCAGGGGTGAAAATGGCATCAGATCTCCAGGAGCTGGAGAAAGATGGAGAAGCGATAATTAAAGGGTTTATACTATTCCTGAAGGGCTCTCCACCAGCGACGGCTGCGTGGCTAAAGCAGAGCTTTGATCTCAGCCCGTGCTTTCTAAAGGATGGCTGTGACAAAAGAAATCATCTCAAAAGGCTTGGAAAAGAGGTTACCAGGGGATGCGTTGCTTGCTGGAAGCAGCGCCACCAGAGCTGACACCCAACCACCTGAAGGCCACTCAGTTACTGAGCAGTTAAGGTCTAATTGCAGCATATTGCTTTACACTTCAGCAGGCCTGAGCATGGATGCAAGTAACTCAAGTCTGTGACAAAATAATAATAATAAAAAAACCCCCCACATCACAACCAACTCATAAAATTATTGTATTGTGACATTGGCAGAACTTGGGATTAATGTCCCCTCTTCCCACCCCAAGGAGCACTGATGGCAATAACACTCCTAAGTGCTGCCTTCCACTTGACAAGGCACTAACCACATGTGAAAATACACTGAAGAAACTCATCATCTCTCTCCAAACTGATAATTCCCTAGAAACCAAGGAGATGGGGGTGATATACACACTGGTGACAAACAGTTGTGTTTACAACTGCACGTATTTCCCGGCAAGTCATCCTGTAGACAACGAGCTAACTCAGTCCAGCTGATATTTTTATCATTTTATGGTGCCTTCATGGCAGAGCAGAGGTTTGTTTTTTTTTCTTTTTCCACATCTTTCCTCATCAGGGAGCATCTCCCTGCTGAGGAAAGGCTGAGGGAGCTGGGGCTCTTTAGCTTGGAGAAGAGGAGACTGAGGGGAGACCTCATTAATGTTTATAAATATGTTAAGGGCGAATGTCAGGAGGATGGAGCCAGGCTCTTCTCAGTGATGCCCAATGGTAGGACAAGGGGCAGTGGGTGTGAGCTGGAACACAGGAGGTTCTGCTTAAACTTGAGAAGAAACTTCTTTACAGTGAGGGTGCCAGAGCCCTGGGACAGGCTGCCCAGGGAGGGTGTGGAGTCTCCTTCTCTGGAGACATTCAAGACCCACCTGGACGCCTTCCTGTGTGATCTCATTTAGGTTCCTGCTCTGGCAGGGGGATTGGACTGGATGATCTTTTGAGGTCCCTTCCAATCCCTAATATTCTGTGATTCTGTGTGATTTTCCATTAGGAGTGTGTGCTTTCATTGCAGTGTTCCCCACTTAGAAGTCTGCCTCCTGAATGGAGAAGAGACTTGCATAAAAAAAAACCCGGAATCATACAAAATCCAAGCCTGGATCTCGTGTAATTCTAAGGAAAGCTGTTAAGCATTCACATTGACCACCATTGACCAAGGCTGGTCCATCTACACCACTGCAGGCATTTCTAACTCAATGCCCTGCAAAAGTATTTGATGCTTTGAGTGTTACCTCGATGCAAAAAGATGAATTTTGCTTCACTTCTCAGATTTGGTTCTGCTTGAGCTGTTGCTCAAGACCTAGCTGGGTCTTTCTTTGCTTAGAAGGTGGCATGTAGCTCCTGTGTTACCTGCCTGCACAACCCCACTGAGAGACAACAACAATGCCTGGACCCTCCCTGCTTCATAGCTGGGGTTTGGTGGAAGAAAATACTAAATCTGGAGAATCTGGGCTTCATTTTATGACAATTGAGAAGTTATGCTGATTCCCCACTGTCCTGGTGTGTAGCTGGGACAGAGCTGGTTCTTTTCAGCAGCTGGAACAGCGCTGGGGTTTGGGTTCAGCTGGGATTGGTTAGGAGAGAAACACTGAGAGCATACTGATGTTTGCGTTTGTCACTGGAAGTTGAAGGACTTTGTGTTTTGCTGGTCTACAAGTGCAAGATCTCAGGAGGTGAGGAATATTGAAATTAAGAAGCTAAACTGTCATTTGTCTCTGCCAAGGGTCTATTCCACCTCCTGTCCCCCATGGACAGGAGATCCATGAGGGGCTCTTCCTCTCTTGCTCTCTCTGGCTTTGGCTCGGGTTCTGGCTCTCCCGGGACTGCAGTTTCGGGTCGGGATTGTGGCTCCTCCGGGATCTGGGAATGTGCCAGGCTCGGTCAGCGGGTGGTGAGCAATGGCACTGGGTGTCACTCATTTGTGTGTTTTATTACTATTATTATTTTAATATCGTCATTATTTTAAGTTTTCTTCTACTTCAGTGATTAAATTGTTCTTCTCTCACCCTACGAGTCTCCTTCCTCTCGCCCCCCAATTCTCTCCCTTATCCCCTGGGTGGGGGGCAGTGAGCAAGCGCTGTGTCTAGCTACAGCCCAGTGCAACCACCATACCCAATAAGAGGTCCCTTCTCCTGAGCACAGATCAGGGGTTGAGTTTGTCTCCTGCAGATCTGCAGCTCACACCAGAATTAAGTTACCTCGTCTTGCTGAGTTACCACTTATTCCCTGTTGAGCAGTTAACTGGAAATGGTTACTGAGAAGATTCACATTGTTCAGCTGATGAGCAATAGTTAAGTCTAGCTGCAGGAGTAACCTAAGAAGCAGCTCTCAGGAAAAAGGAGGTGGTGAAGGAGGGTTTTGTGAAGGATGCATTGCTGATCCAGAGGCAGTAAGAGCACAACAGATGGTACCCAAAACCATGAGGGAAGCAGAGACTCCTACCTGGGATGGACTGACTAACTGCACCACGTGTGTACACACAGCCACACTCTCCCAGCCCAACAGCAGCCAGCTCTGCTTTGTGAGGCTGAGGAACAAAAGCACATTGAAGAGTGGCCCCGTGGCACCATGAAAGTCTCCATAACCTCAGATGAAAGGATCTTTGCAGGAGAGGGGCAGCACAGCCCCCGCTCGCCAGCGATGGATGTGTCACAGCAAATGCACCCGTACCCCATCTGTCACCAAGGCAGAGGGGAGAGGATGAACAAATAAGCCATTAGAGACCCAACCAGGGACACTGACCTCTCCATTTTTTGCTAATGGACCATCTCAGGAGGCTCCACTCAACTGATCTCCTTGTCTTTCTGAGCCACCCAAGCCACCATCAGCTGCTTGTTCCCAATGCAGTCACCCAGCCCTGTCACCCACCCAGCGAGGTGAGGGGGAAGTGGTCCAACACCTCTGTTTGCTCTCACTCTTCCAGCCCTGCTGTGGGGATACAGGAGGGAAAGCAGATCTCCAAAGTACACCCAGCAGACAGGGGGGTAAATCAGAGCTGCACTGGTCCATGAGGGTGTGGGACCTCTGGGGTGATGGGAACATGGCTGTATAGATGCTGTGATCCCTCCTCCTCTCCCTGAGCCATGTCCCTGTGGATCACCCACCACTGAGTAAGGGACTGGAGCAGCACAGTGCTGTAAGCACAGGAGATGCTGACCTAGCAGAGTGGAAGTAGGACCATGGATTTGGGGACTCTGAAGAGGTGACAAGTCTGGAAGACATGTTTTGAGCTGTAGCAGGTGCCTGACAAATGCTGCCAGTACTAAATCATCACCAAGCTTGTCTCCCAACCCTAGGGCTTTCATCTCTAAGGACATTCAGATCCTGAGACAACTCTTCTGAATAGATGTGGAGGTTCTGTGCTTTCTTATGACAGGCAGTAGCCTGCAAGAGAGACTTTACTTTTGACTCTTGGAGGATACTGGGAGAGCCTACAAGGAGAAAGGTCCAAATCATAGAACCATTAAGGTTCGAAAAGACCTCCAAGAACATCAAAAGTCCAACCATCAACCCAACACCTCCATGCCCATTAACCCATGTCTGTAAGCACCACATCTACTTGTCTTTTAAATCCCTCCAGGGATGGTGACTGAACCACTTCCCTGGGCAGCCTGTTCCAATGCTTGGCAACCCTTTCAGTAAAGAATTTTTTTCCTAAGACCCAACACCCTGGGACTTCCCTATCCCTCAATACACTGTTTAAGGAGGCAGCTGAGCCAGGCAGCACTGGGAGGCATCGAGGTGGAGGTGTAGAACAGACCAAGGGACACATTATCACAGTGAAAGCCATAAGCTGCCAAGAGAAGAAGGAACCACAGATGGAGCCCAGAATGGTATAGGTAGGGGGACAGAGATTACCTTTTGAGCATCTCTGGCCATGGGATCAGTGGAGGAACTCATCTCTGGTTTCTTTCCTCTCTTCTTTTCCTCACGCTCCTCTTCTTCAGAAGAGATTTCTTTGTCGCTGATGTTGCTGGCTAACTCCTCCAGCTTCCTCTTCAACTCCTCCTCCTCGACATCGGGATCAAGTTGGGACTCTGGGGCTGGAGACTGAAGGAGCAGAAGAAGGGAGTTGGGTGAGAATCTCCTGTGGTGGACAATGTGGCATGCCTGGGCCTGGACACCCTTGCTAACACTGGCCAGCAGAGGAGCTTGAGGAGTGCAACCACAGATGGACTTTGCAAAGGGGACTTCAAACCCCTCTCTGCATGAGGGTTGTCCAGACCACCCAGGGGAGCAGCAGAGCTCAGTGAGCTGTGCTCCAGCTCCACATCTAGGAATACAAACCCTTGATCTAAAGAACCACCATTCCCATTTTCCCCACACACAGAAGGTACTTGTTTTTCCCTATGGAAAATTGCTTTTTTGCCCTCTTAAAAATCATGCATGGGGGATTTGGGGCCAAAACCCACTGCATTTTCATTAGCAACCTTGATGTGGCTGGTGGCTCCACGGGCAGAGATCACAGCAACCCAAAGACATGGTCCACCAGGCCAAGGGAAGCGGCCACATGAACCATCACTCCCCAAGGTAGTTCTCAGAGTCTCTAGATAATCTTATTTGCAATGAGAAAACATGCAGCGAGTGTTCCTGTAGGACAGATGGCATACTTCCATCTGGCCCTGTTATTAGGTGTGATCCATGTTACCTGGAGAAGAATCCTATTAAACTCCCAGGTGCTGGAAGGAATCTCCAGAAGTGACAGAACTCCTTGTCCCTTGTGTTAAGACAGGAATACAGTCATCTGTGTCGTACCTGATGGGTTTCTGTCTAAGCTGTTCTTAACCTTGAACAATGGCATCTGCAGCAAGCAATCTTTCCCCCAGGCAACCTACTCCTGGGCTCTGCTCTCCTTCCTGCTCAAAATCTTTTCTTAATAGTTAACGTCAACTTGTCCTGCAGCAGTTTAGACCTGTTGCTTCTACTCTGATCTGCCCTGGACACAGGAACAAAGCATGGGAACCCACAGACTTGCACATCTCCTCCTCCCTTGGTTGGATTGAGTGATAGAAACACTGAATGGTCACAGACATGGCCATTCCTGTTATAAATTTTAGGGAAAAAGAAGAAGAAATGGCATTGTTTCATCCACGCCTAAGGGACTTCTCTGTAATTATCACTGTCCCTTCTACCGAGCTGTCAGAGCACCTCAAGGTGATGGGTTCACATGAAGGAAAAGAAGAGTACACAGTCTAAAATTAGAAACCCCAAATCGATGTTAAGTGACCTAAGTATTCACAGATTCTACATCATTGCTCAGCTTTAACTTAATTTAGCTGTTTTCTTCCAAGCTTGATGGCATGGTGAGACAAGGGCAGCTGGGAAGGGATTTGTAAATCCTTCTTGACTCAGATCTCATTCACAGTAACCAAGTCACTTCCCTACGTGCACTAACTGATTCTTCCATGACTTCAAACAAAATGTCACAGCTCTGCAGGTGTACCAACACCCAATTAAAAATACTCCTGAAATTAGCTTTTTGGAGAGTATTAAATTGAAATCCCATTTTCCATGTGCAGGAGGGACAAGGAAGGCACTAGGCTTACACGAGGGCCCACAGACACAAGTTACATTTCCTTCTCTATCTGTCCTGTCAGGCAACATTTCTTAAAGCACTCCATCACCTGAAACTAGAGAAGAGCCTCTAAAGCCAAAACAGAGGTTTAAAAATCTAACAACCTGAGTCATGTTGTCTATCTGGCTTTCTCCTCACCACGCTGAGTGCTTCAGCGCAGCCCCTCTGATGAGAAGGGGAAGGGACCAGCACAACCCAGGCTCTTTCCATGCAGAGAGTGTGTTTGGGTTTTGCCTGGTTACCTCGGAGTGCACCAGGATTTTTTCCTCCAAGCGGCTCAGCACACGTTCGATAGCAGACATGCGTTTGTGGAGCTCATGAATCTAGAAGAAAGGAGAAAGAGAGAAAAGGAGTATAGAACAGACCGGCCACCGCTGCCAGGACAGTGAGAAAACAGTGCAACCAGCAGAAGAAAGCGAGCAGCAAGGCACCTCCACCAAGGGCTGAGTTATAAAGACATTAAAAAATTGAAGTCTTTAAAAAATGGTCCTGGAACACGTTGCCCAAGAAAGTTGTGGATGCCCCCTCCCTGGAAGTGTTTAAGACCAGGCTGGATGAGGCTTTGAGCAACCTGATAGTAGAAGGTGTCCCTGCTGCTGGCAGGGGGATTGGAACTGGAAGAGCTTTAAGGTCCCTTCCAACCCAAACCAGTCTGGGATTCTGTGATAACTTGGTGAGCTCCAGGCTCTCCTCCAATCTGGAAAACTCATAGTGAAGCTGAACACTCAGTACACCACAATTCCCACCAAATCATGGTGATAGCTTTGATGCAGTGAGTGTAAAACCACATCACTGGCCCCCGGCATGTCCCTCATCCAGGCAAAAGCGTCAGGCTGTAACAAAGCCACCGTCCCATCATTCATGTGCTGCCCCAAACTCAAGTCAACAGCAGTTTTCCCTTCCTACTAACACATTTTTCAAGCAGCTACTACCCCATCACCCCCCTGCCAATACAGGGCTGGAAAGGAAGATGGAAGAAGGTAAAAAATTTCCTATGAAAAAATTTCCCAATAGAAAAACTAAATCTGAAAGTTTTCCACAACACACTTTGGAATTTCCTGACTTCTCCTTGCATTGATTTACCAAGATGCTCTTCTCTCCCTTACTCTTCCCACTGAAAAAAAGGATGAGAAGAGTACAGCAGAATAGAGAAAATCAAAGAGAAGTTGCTTTCTGTGCTTGAGAGCCAAGATGAATTTTTGTGGTTAAATCACTCGAAATATAAAAGGAAGCTTTTTTGCCCCCCCAGCTTTTAAGAATTGAAGTGTTTTTTGGGTTTTTTTTAAGTTTTTTCCTTTGATCCAAACAAATAAAACACAAATGATGGGAATTATTGCCCGTTTTAAGCAGATAAAACACCACCTCCTCCATCACTCCTGTTCCAAGTGGCTGCCTCCCATTCAAAGGGGAACGAGCAGCAAAGGCGGTAAGTAAATTCACTAAGAGATGCGAGGGCTTGGCTTTGTTTTTACAACATATCCATCATCTCACTTCATTTTTGTGCTTGCTAGTGTTTGATTAATTAGATCTTCATAACAGCTTGGAGAGATTGCATCTGCTTAAGAGAAGATGAACACAAAACATGACACTCTAATTACCATCCCAAATTGAATGCACCTTGAAGCAGCATTAAACCCACGGGCAGGAAGCAATCCAATCCATCTCTAAGTGGTTTCTCTGTCCTGTTTGAGGCCCAACTCTTGCATTGCTCCTGGTAACAATGAGAAGTCTGTGATGGGCCATCAGCTTTAGAGGAAGAGATGGTGATGAATTGAGCACTGGCACTACCCTGTCTCCATAACGTAGAGGTTGGGAGAGGTCAGAGCATAATGCATGCTCCACAGTTGATGGGCTGCAAGGACAGGAGATGAAGAGCTTGCTTTCATTCTCCCTCCGAAGCAAGGCTGGTTTTAATGTATGGTAGTCACCCCATTAAGGGGTGAGCATCACCTTGCCCTGCTCTCTGCATGACAAAGTGTCCTGGTTTTCCTAGGATAGAGTTATTTTTCTTCTTAGTATCTAGAAACTTAAATGAGGCTTTGAGCAACCTGGTCTAGTGGAAGGTGTCCCTGCTGATGGCGGGGGGGTTGGAACTGGATGAGCTTGAAGGTCCCTTCCAACCCAAACCAGTCTGGGATTCTATGAAAAGGTGTGTTTTAGTTTCAGTGTGGGATTTGTTATAAGAATGTTGATAAGGCACTAATGTTTTTAGTTGCTGCTTGAAGTCCAAGGTCATCAAGTTTTGCTGGTCTGCAAGTGCAAAGCACCAGGAGGGGGGTAGTGTAATAATTAGCAAACCCCAAAATTGGCATTTAGATATGCTAATGAGATATTCCAGATCATGTCAAGTTCAGGATATTAACCAGGATTGACCAGAAAGCTCAGATTCTCTTGAGGATCACTTGGGCTCACTCTTCCATGATTGTGGTTTCAGGACTGTCTCTGCTCTGGGATCACTGGCTGGGACAGGCTGGGCATCAGTCAGCAGGTGGTGAGCAACTGCACTTTTGCATAATCTATTATTTGCATATTCTATTATTACTGCTATTATTATTTTATTTCAATTAGTAAATAGTTTTTATCTCAATCCATGAGTCTCCTTGCCCTTATCCTTCCAATTCCCTCCGCTGCTCCCTTGGGAGTGGAGAGGGTGAGCGAGCGGCTGTGTTTGGCTGCAGCCAAAGGAGTGAAACCACCACACTGACAAAGGCTGACAAACATTGCTCTGTATTAAAACATTGAAAGTGAAGAAACTTAAAACACAGCCCGTAAAGAAGACATCAGTGAGGGCATCACTTGCTGCTGGGGAGGGAAGACAGGCTGCTCTAGCAGAGGTGCTGCCTCCAGTCTCTCAAATACCCACCAAGACCTTTAACAGAAGCTTTATGTAAAAAATAGGAGCCAAGATGGCATCAAAGCTTCAGGAATCCAGAACCACTAAGATCCCTTGAGCTATGGCAGAATAGCTTTTGGGGAGAAACTTGGTAAATTGGTGCTATTCCCCGTGGCTGGGTCCTATTCTTATCTGGTTTGTAAAGATCTAAAGGCAAATAGCTGCACAGTTACCAATTTAGGGCTTCTTTTTGTTTCTCCTCAGGTTTAAGAGCTTTTTTAATAGTGGGCTTGGGTTTTGGTTTTTTTTTTAACTTTTGTTCTAGTACCTTGAGCTCCTGGCACCAGAGGGCTGGGGAGCAGTCTCTGCTTTTGTTACTGGAAAAAGCCAAGTTCCTGGTGTTCAGAACTGCCAAGTAAATTCTCTCCAGAATTAAAGCAAAAGCAGTTTTCAGATGGGACACATTTTGATGAGCTTGCACCTAAGGCAGTTTTAGGAAAGAGGGTTTTCATCTGTGGGGGTCAAAAAAAACCACAGGGCAAAGTGCTGAACTCTCCACCTCTTGAAACCTTCAGGTGCCACCAAGATGTCTACCAGGAAAGCAGTGCTTTTGAAGCCAGGCTATGGGATGTCATACAGGGTTAACGGGGGTTATCAAACATGTTCCTGGACCCTACACCCCACAGATCAACATCTTGGATTGCCAAAGGGCACAGCATCTGAGAAGAGCAGTGCCAAGGTGACCAGTCACACTCAGCCATCTTCATTCTCCCCTGGGATGTCCCATCGGGGACTGGGATACCCCAGAAGCCCTGATGATGTGACATACCCTAGAAGTGCCTGTAAGCAGCTCAAAAGCCATTGCTTCGCTGCTCAGGAGAATGCAGTTTGCTGCTTGCTGTCCCAAATCCCTCTTGGCCTGCCTCAGCCTCTCCATCTCCTCCAACCTCAGGACTAGAGGATGGACACCAGCCTCTTCTGAACCTCTTTCAGCTCTACCAGTACAGCAGAGCCTTCTAGCACCAAAACTTAGATGTTCTTGCTTTCTCCCTTCTTTGGACTTGTACCTGGCCTCTCCTTGGCCAGTGGCAACAATGCACGTAGGCATCATTCTGAAGTTAATGGTCCAGCACACAGCTGGGTCTCTTCCTGCTGGGTGAGGAGAAGGCTGGGTGGGAGGATGGTTGCTAGCTGTAAACACATCAGCAGCACAAAGGGCAGGAAGGATGAGGAGCTATTTAAGCTAATGAACGATGTTGGCATAAGAGCAAATGGGGTTAAATTGGGAGTGAGAAGATGTCTTGTAACCATTAGAGTGATGAGGCTCCACAGCAGCCTTTATACTGGTGTGATGGAGCAAACCACAAAACACACTGGGCCACCCTGAAGTGAGAGCTTTCCCAGCTGATGAAGGAAGTCATCTGAAGCGTTGGTAGGAATTTGGCCCCGTTTCCCCACTGCAAAGCATGGTGCACATTTCACGCCTAACGTAGCGTGGCCTCGTTAAGGACACCTAGTCCAGGGTTCTCCCATTTACTGCTGACTGAAAAAGGAATGGCTTTTACTAATTAAAACATGTGCCAAGAGAAGTAAAAGGTAAAGGAAAGGTTTCCACCTAGGTTGCCCAAGAAAGTTGTAGATGCCCCCTGCCTGGATGTGTTGAAGGCCAGGCTGGATGAGGCTTTGAGCAAGCTGGTCTAGTGGAAGGTGTCCCTGCTGATGGCAGGGGGGTTGGAACTGGATGAGCTTTAAGGTCCCTTCCAACCCAAACCATTCTATGATTCCATGATTCCCTACGCAGGCACATGAAGTGTGGTGCTGAGGGATGGCTGTGGTTACAGATTCCCCCATCCATTACCCAAAGCTGGGTCCAGGATGTGCAAAATTGTGAGCAGAGCCTGACAGCTGGCTCTCCACATCTATCTATAACCAAACACCACCACTCATTGTGCTGCTCAAGAGGTCTGAGGGATGCTTTACCATTCTCACCACCCACCATTCGCAAAGGTGGCATCAGGAACTACAGGTCCTTGCTTGACAATTAAAAACAGAAGCTGGCAGCCTTTTTGACACCCTTCTCTGGACTGTTCCCCCTATTATCATCATTCAGGAGAGATATGTGACAGGTCATCCCGACCCAGTCCTACCAGGGCAGGAACACTACACTCTGCAAAGGAAGAGAAGGATCTTGATGTTTACTTATTAAACAACCCTCTCCAAGCCTCTGTCTGATCATAAAGCACCGGCACATTCAATGGCAGAAAGCTTTTTTGGGGACACAGAAAACCATAGGGAGCTCATGGATTAATAAGGACAGGCTGGAAAATTAACAGCAATGAGGACGGGTTTGTACTGAGACAGCAACATGGGCAGAGTGAAGCACCAGTGCCTGGTTTTCTCTTTGCCATGGGTGGAAAAGTGGAAGAGCTGGGAGGAGAAGCACAGAGCTGCAGAGTACTTCTGCATCATCCTAATGGTGCTGAGAAAAGTCTCTTCTCCCTCATCTTAATGAGCCAAGGAGCCTTCAACACACCTGCCCAGATCTCATCCCTGCTCTTATTTCATGACCACCTTGGCAGGTCCCTCACAATACAGAGGGCAGGACATGGCCTGGTAATTCATCTTGTTGGTGCCACACAACCATGATGTGACACAGATGAGCTGGCTGCTAGGTCACCCCACAGTCCTGCTGTATTGCTCTGGCCATGCAAAGTGGCTGTGCTCCCAGCTTCTTTAGGACCACAAAGATAATGAGGACCCTGGACCATCTCCTGTGTGAGGAGAGGCTGAGAGAGCTGGGACTGTTCTGCCTGGAGAAGAGCAGCCTGAGAGGGGATCTGATCAATGTCTATAAACACATGAAATGTGGGGGCCAAATGGATGGGGCCGGGCTCTTCTCGGTGGTGCCCAGTGACAGGACAAGGGGCAATGGGCACAAACTGGAACACCAGAAGTTCCAGACAAACTAAAGGAAAAACTTCTTTCCTGTGAGGGTGCCGGAGCCCTGGGACAGGCTGCCCAGAGAGGGTGTGGAGTCTCCTCTGGAGATGTTCCAAACCCTCCTG